TTTTTTTTCGGCTAAAAACGCCTTACTATACATGGTCGTTTTTTTTTTCGGCTAAAAACGCCTTACTATACATGGTCGTTTTTTTCACCTAAAACGCCTTACTATACATGGTGGTTTTTTTCGGCTAAAAACGCTTTTCTATATGATGTAATATCTTTCATGTATAGATTTTTCAAATGTACTAATGTATAGAAAAACGGAAAGCAGTAAAGTAAAATGTTTGTCAGAGCACTTGTTTTATTGCTGAAATGTCATGCTTGATTGTCGAGGTCATTTAAAACGTGAGATTTAAAACTGAAACCCTGCGTCAAGTCACATGATTCTGGGAAGATTCTAATTGTTTTTCCTATTTCAAAAACTACCATTGTTGTAATGTAACATCGTGTGTGTTTTTGTTGCTTTTAATGCCATTTTCTCTCTGTTATAGAACACTCGTGTAGTGTAATGTGGATCTTTCTAGCAAATCGCTACTTGTGTTCACGCCAGCCTTTCTGTCCCTTGCTGTTCCAACACCGCCCCTGCCGCTGCCCGCCACCCGTCCCCCCCACACCTCCCACCATCAAACCTCCATGTTTGTGTCCTCGACCCCTCATTTGTGTGCTTCTTGATCATTTTTCTCCCTGACTCATAACATCACCGCTCATCTCATCGCCTCCTGTACCCGACCCCCCCAAAACCATGCCCCTCCCATAGCAACAACCTGCAGACCCTGAACAAGGCCGCCGCACCTCCTTGGAGAAGTTCACGCGCAGTGTGGTAAGTTGTCGGAAGGCAGGATCTCCACCGGCTTAGCACAAAATGGCTGCATCACCACTTTTGAGCTGTCACCAGTGTACACTGTCCACTTGCATTGAAACACTGCATTAATGCTGGCTTTTCACTGATTAATGGAGCTATTCTTGAGCATTGAAACATTCATCCGCGTCTTTTAACTGTTGTCTTGAATGGACTTTCCAGGGCAAGTCATTGACTGGCAAACGTCTATCGGGGTTGATGCAGTCATCCTGACACACTCTGTTTGTGGGGGGCACTTTGAGCTCCTTAATGGGGGGCAACCAAACGGGACTGGGCTGGTCGTCAGAACTCAAACGCCACCACTATACAACTCACGCAGCACTGGGCCGGCCTACTGGGATGGGATCCAAGGCCAGATGCAACCAAACGGGACTGGGCTGGTCGTCAGAACTCAAACGCCACCACTATACAACTCACGCGGCACTGGGCCTACTGGGATGGGATCCAAGGCCAGACTCGGTGACTGGAAATGAGCGCTGACAGGAGGGGAAGTACCACGTGACACTTCAACGAAGCCTCTTTAAACAACGGGTTATTTGGTGGATAAGCGGATACATTTATATTTTATATCGCTGTTTACTGTGTATGTCTGTCTTATTAAAAGCACATTTGGAAAATAAATACCAAAAGCTTTTTTTCCACATTTTTTTGAAAGGGCAGAAAAAGAGTGTGATTAAATAGAGAAAAAAAGAAGAGAATAAAAAGAGAGAAAAAAAAGAAAAGTTCGTAAATCGGGTCGTTCGTAAATCTGTTCTTTCGTTGTTCGTAAGTCGGGTCATTCGTTGCAGTTAACCACCAGGCAGCCCGACATATAAACAAAAAAAAAACATTGGTTCTTTATACAAAAGACTGAACATGAAGACTCTATTGAGCAACATCATTTAATATAACATGGCTCAACTTTTTTTATTCAAAGAGCTCCAAAATATCGCCGGTCACACTGGAGACCAGCCAATGATGGTTTCTTCATTTGCCAATGAATACACTGACATTGTTATCTTCAAGCTTCCGTCTTCTTCTTCAACTTTCCCCTTCATCCTCAGCAGTAGCGTCCCGGTCCTGCTGGTACTCGGACACCAAATCATTCATGTTGCTCTCAGCTTCAGTTAACTCCATCTCATCCATACCCTCACCCGTTACGGCGCAGCATGGCTGTGAACTGCTCAGAGATATGCTTGAACATCTCCTAGATGGCTGTGGTGTTGCTTATGAAGGTGACGGCCATCTTGTAAAAATACAGACAATGAACTGCAGCCAAAAGTGGGGTCTTTATTGATTGGACACATATTCTTATTATATCATTGAAATAATATATGAAATGTTATCCCATTTCCCAAAAAGGTTTGGCCTCAGATGAGTGCAGCAACGACCGCTCCCACAGTTCCTCCTGCACCGGCCACAGCTGCAGAGGCAGCGGTTGACAAACCAGCCATTCCTACAGTACAGGAAGGGGGGGGGATGATCTCCCTTTTTCTCATTTTCTTTGATTAGAACATGTAGAAATTAACAGACACAACATTGGGCACAACTGCAAAATCTCCCGGGAGTATTAATGAGAAATAATAATTAGATATGCTGTGACGATTGAAACAATATAAATATTATTGTACTTAGGGGTCGCATTGGAAATAAAGCAGGGATGCATACATACCAACAACTGGCTGTAACTTTAGAATTTTTCCTGACATGATAATCAGAATTCACCCAACGTTTATCCTGCGGTGCAGATTGTGTTTCATAAAAAAAAATAAAAAATAAAAAAACCCACACGACTCATGACTTAAGGGGTGTTGCAGTGTGAACACCCCTTAAGTCATGAGTCGTGTGGGTTTTGTTTTTCTTTCATTACAAAACATTTACAGAGCCATATTTTTCAAATATGTTTTTGGTGCTTGTGCATTGCGAACAGGCTTGAGTCAAACAGAGCAAAATAGATGGTATTTACTATTTCGAATAAAATGCCTCAGAAAAAGGTGAGCTGGATGAACCAAATTACACGAGGCTGTTCCCTCTTTCATTGAAAACGAAACAAGTGAGGCTATCGGTAAATTTTTCAAAGATACTGGGGCCTAATTGTCGTCAAGCTCTGAACCAACTTAGTTCCGTTTTACAAATACGCAGTTATGAATTAAGCTGTACTTGAATTGGGTAATACGACTTACCGACAGACTGCAAGACAGCCACCGCGCTACCTGCCGCCACCCCTCCTCCGTTGGCGACAGCGGCGGCTGACATCATGCTCGCCGCATACGAGCCTGCTGCTATCCCAGCTGAAGTGAAGCCGACGGCCCCCAAGACCACCGGAGCCAGAACCACCGAACCAGCTGGACCGAAAGTGAAGTCAATCACATCAGTGAAAACAGCCAACAACAAGCAAAGTGCTAGTGTGGGTCAACAATTTAAAAAAAGACTGTTTCTTCAAAACCATAAATATGTATTGATTTTGTAAAACCTCTTACTTGCGCCACCGGCAACAGCTAAAATGGTCACTGCAAATGAAAAACACACGTCAAAGCGGAAGGTTCCATTTCCTACCAGTTTCCGTGATGATGGAATGCTAAGAGAGAAATACTTACACAATCCCATGTTGTCCTGTCCTTGTAAGTATGGATATGAATGCGTACTTTTGAGCCTGTCTCGGTTTTATTTTCTCGCGTGACAATGGATGGAGTAACGAAAGGGGGCGTGCTTTCAAAGGACAGAGGCTAGTTTCGTTTCTCCAGAACTGATCCAAAGAACATGGGCGTCGACTGCCGACGGGTACTTGCATACGTCATTTGTCAAATACGGTATTACTGTAGTGCTTTGTTACAAAAGTTGCTTGGCGACCTTTACTGTATCAGGATAGCCGATGAAAGAATTCTGATCTGAAAAACAAACAGTTGTTTTTAAACTCTTCGAAAATAATTGTGTGATTGTCATGAATGTTTTTGTTGTTTCATGTAATTTGTCGTTTTAAAGATTCAATTTCGTAGAAATCAAAATATGTAAACCAAACATTTTACTGCCCATACAGAGCAGCTATGTATATCTTTGTACTGCTCCTCATGAGGGTCACGGGCGCGCTGTTGCTGTTGAGCGACCTCAAACTGGGTCCCAAAGCGGTTCCTAAAGCCGCAACGACGCGTGTACCTACAGACCCAGTTGTCGGCTGTTAACTAGAAACTGTTCGTAGCCCGAAGGCACGCCCAACACCGCTTGAAAGTCATTCCCGAGTTGGGCCGGGCGCGCTGTTGAGTGGAGAGAGAAAAAGGCAAGGCGCACCTTTGAATTGGCCACCAGACAGTCGCAGGTCAAACAGACATTCACGCTTGCGGACAATTTAGACCAGGGGTCGACAACCCAAAATGTTGAAAAAGCCATTTGGACCAAAAAAAACATGTCTGGAGCCGCAAAAAAATTAAAAGCCTTATAATGAAGGCAATGCATGCTGTATGTGTCTATATTATAGAGGTACGTAAGATCGGGCCTAAAATGTCAATCATTGCTTCGGGTTCGGGTCGGGCTTCTCTCTCGCTGACTTTTTTTTTTTTTTTTTTTTTTAGTTTCGAGGCCGTGAATAGTTTTGGCCACGAAAGACCGTGGTTCACAAAACAACAGAAGTCGCCTCATCACAACACGTACTGGACTAAACTCTTGCAATGACAATTCAAAGAACTCCTTCAAGTCTCTGTCGAGTATCCACCTGTCATTGTTCGTCTTTGTCTCTCTGCTTCTCTCTCTTAAAGTGCCGCGCCTGATTCTTAAGGACTTACTGCTGCTGTGGTTTACGGCCCACTTTTCAACCCGTCAAAATGACGGATGGCCTTAAATTTTCCCCGTCCACTCTTAAAAAAAAATCCGTCAATGATTGAAAATTGTCGGTTAATGTAACCTCTTCAGAAACAGAAATATAAAAGATGTAAATGTTTATACAGTCTTGTTTAACTTAGATTTCGTTACAAAAGACAGGCTTTGTTATCAGAAATCACCCCTCCTCCTCCGGAGTCCTCACAAATAAAATATGAAATCTTGGGTTTGCTTCGGGCTCGGGCCCGCAAATCTAGTTAAGTGATCGGGCTCGGGCCGGGTTAAATTTTTTCGGACCGATCTTAGCTCTACTATATTAGCCTCCTATCAAAATGATGAAGTTGGCTCGAATACACAATGAGCCTTCATGATTAAAAGTTTTTTTTCTCTGCATCTGGAGAGCAGGGAGGGGTGCCCAATCTTTTTTGACCCACAGTCTACTTTTTCATCAAACAACCTCCCGTGATCGCACACGCGCATACGCATGCCATAATGAGCAACAGCCAGATGAACGAGGCCCTGGATGCACTTTTGCAGCGTGTTCACTATCGTAGCTCACATGTACTGTTGAGAAATGCTTCCCTCTGCCCTCCATATTCCCATTCTTTTCCCAGTACCCTCGATGAATTGTACATGAAACGCTGTTTTTTTTCCCGCAACAGCAACCTGCTAATTTCATAGAAATGTGTGTCGCAGGCTATGACGCAAATCCTCGTTGGCAGAAATGTTGAAATGTAATATTTATTCTTAACATTTTTACAGCATCAGAAAACGTTAATGTTTGTGTCCTGAAACAATATTAAAAATACTGTGTGTGAATATATATATTCTTTTTTAATTTTCAAACATTTTTGAAATTTTCCAGGAAGCCACTAGGTCGTCGCTAAAGAGCCACATGCGGCTCTTGAGCCGCAGGTTGCCAACCCCCGATTTAGACTCTTCAATTAATCAAAGCAGAAAGTTTTGGAAAAGTGGCAGGAACCCACACAGGAAAAAAGACCGCTTGGATTTGCACCCAGGACCTCTTAACTCAGATGCAGATTTTCTCATGTACACACACATAAAATTTAGCAGTGGACAGAGCAAACCCGTACTGCAGCAGGGGGGCCCACTTCAAAATCATCATGTGTGAATGTTCTGTCCAAGAGCCTGATAACACGTAACAACAACACACAAATTGGAGTTTTATCCTTTACTCGTGGACTTTTTTTCAGTAACATAATTCAATTGAGTTTAGCTTTCAATGCACTCTTGTATATAATGAGAACAGGCCATTTGAAATGAAGGACATGTTATGAGATTCCATTTTTGGGACTCAGAACAGGGACATCACATGGCCAGCGGTGGGTGCTGCAGCAGAGCTTGAACCTAAAATGAGACGTGACATATCAGAATGTAGAGTTCATACCTGTAACACTATCAGGAGAATAATTTTCGCAGGGATCACTTCAAACTACCACTAATGCAAGTCCAAAATACATTAAACAGTACACCCTGTTATATCGCAGTTCCAATTTGCAGCCTGGGCGACTTGTGGATTTCTAATTGGCACATATCTGGTTTTAATTTAAGATTTCCTTTCTTTGCTGGTTTGTGGCAGATGTATTTTTATACATTTTCTTTAAAGAACTAAGATTGAACAAGGTGGCGCCAAAGCCTAATAAGGACCTTGCCTGACCACCAGATTGTGTCCGGTACAAGGCCGCGAAAGGATCGCAGAACCTTTGGGCAGTGGGTCCCAAACCTTGTTGTGCCAAGGGACTCATTTTACCGTACATTAGAAAAATCTCACAACACACTGCCAAGCAAAAATATCAAAATGATGATCTGTTTTTCATTCACAGATGTACTCTGTGAAAGTGGGGCCCTTTTAGTTCAACACAAAACTCATATACTCACAAGAAGCCGTGACTTCTTTCATTGTATGAATGGTAATGGGTGGATACAGAAGTTCATCATATATCTTTTGCCATCTATTAAATGTTCCATTGTCCTGATGATTTCTCATGGTACGCTGTTTGGGTCTCACTGCCAGAGTTGATATGCAGGTTTTTGGAAGGACTGTTTTGGGTGCCGCACTCAGGCAGACAACTGCGTGGCTGTGTCCAAAGTCGCGCCGGAAGTGATCTCATGCAACTGAAAACGCGGTCAATACTTTTTATAACACTGTGACCCAAGTAATTTTGTCTACATTTCTTGGGGTCTTGCATGCATGAAAAATTACAATGAACAATGCCATTTATAATTAAAAAAGATGTATAAAAAAAAAAAAAGAAAATGTGGATTTGAACTGATGTTAATCATTCTACATTTTGCCATGTTTTCAGAATTTTCACCTGTGAGATTTGTCTGTTTGAATTTCTATTAATAATATTGTGCCTTATATGGTGATCGTTTTGGTCAAGTTGATGATACACAATTTGCAAATGGTTTCCTCAAGTCATTCAATGTTTGCTTACTTGCTGCTGCTGCTGCTAATGCTGTTCCCGTTGGCAATGCTCCAGATGGTGAAGACTGAAAAGGAGTCGTGATCAGGTTGACGTTCGGATTCACGTCATAACCTATCGTGGTCCCAGCAGGGGATGGATAAAGCAAGGAGCCTAGAGAGCCCAAACGTGCAAATTAGTGGTCTTTCGAAAATAGTTTTATTTGAGGTTATGACGTGGCAATCAATCAATCAATCTTACCGGCTGGAACAGATGAACTACCTGGTGAAATTTAAAAAAAGGGCACTTGGTGATTATATTCATTTGACTTGACATACATTGTTTTACTGAAGCTGAATATCCCATTTTAATTCAAAAGTTAATTTTGATTTCGAACAAGTAAAAAAAGTAGTGATGTGCTCCACGGGTCGAATCCCTGAAGCTAGTCCCGAGTAATCTAGATGAGTGGTTCATGAATGGGGAGTCGAAGCGCGTGTTGATGACGTCAGTGGTGACGTTTGAAGCCCAGCGAAGGGGGTGTACCACGTGACTCATTCAGGAAATGATACGATAGGTTCGAGTGTTCGAAATAAAAGCGACAAAGAAACGCTATGGATTCCCTTCATACCAACTTGCTATCACATATCTATGCACCCCTGCTTCATCAGTACCATGTGAAAGAGTTTGTTCAAAAGCAGGTGTATTCTCTGCAAAAAAAAAAAAAAGCCTGAGTCCAAAAACTGGGTAAAATATTGCTATTCTCTGCAAACGAATAAGCATTTTATTTTACCTCCTTATTTCACATTTTCACTTGTTGCATAAGCACAAACATAGACAAAGTAACACAGAACAATTCATGTAAAAACACTCCTCAAATACGTACATATTGTTTTGTGTTCAGAGCATGGTTTACACCCCACCATTTTATTGCATGCACCAAGCATGTTATACATTTTCCTGTCCACATGATGGCGTAGTCGAGGAAATGATTCATGTTGGAAGCCCCGAAGCGTGTGTTCAGTATTTCCCTGCAGGGCTTCACTGCTTTATGGGGCTTCATTTTGCAATCACTAAAAAAAAAGTACCACATGACTACGACTCACAAAATGTCCGTCGCGTGCATTGTTGGAAATGTTCTGATGTGAATTTAACCACTGTCTTTTTTTATTTAAAGAGGATTAATATCATACAAACGCATCATTCGTCGCTGCGAAACGTATGACTCACCTCCCATGTTGTCTTCGTCTGGTTTTCTCTTCTCGTCGTTTCGTAACCCGGAATTGTTTTGGTCAAGTGCCAGGCTGCTGGCTTTTATCTTGGTGCTAGTGGGTGGGCAATGGGTGGATTCCACCGCTCTGATTGGTTGGATGGTTGGGTGGTGGGATGTTCGGGGGTGGGGGGAATTTGGAAGAACCGTCTGCCAACGTGACCAAACCGAAAGTGAAAGTTGACGCAGAAGATCAAACACGTTCCTGTCTAATTCTCACCGAATATAATTTGACCCCATGTTCACACAACACACAGTCAGCCTGATCAAATGGAGCCTTTTCAAACGTTTTTTTCTTTTTTTTAACACTTGAAGATTTATTGTAACCAGCTCACCATTTCTTATGAAAACTTTGAATAAACACGCGGGAACTAAGGACACTAATTGTTGAAGCTTTATCGATGGATTTATTTCCCATTCTTGCTTGATGTCCAGGTTCAGATGTTCAACAGTTCAGGGTCTCCATTGTGGTACTTTACGCTTCACAATATGCTACACATTTTTAATGGCACACAGGTCTGGACTGCCCGCACTCTAACAAAGAAGGCACGTGGTTGTAACACGTGCAAAATGCGGCTTGGCGTTGTCTTGTTGAAAGAGGCAAAGGCGTCCATGAAAAAGACGCTGCTTGAAATTGGGTTTGGTTAGTACAGAGCACACAGTTGCTGTTGTAAATCACTCAGTGCAAAACAAAATGGCCGTGGATGTAAACACACACTTCCTCTCTATCAGAAACTCCCCTGCTCTTCTCTCCCCCCGTCTCTCCTTATAAGGTCTTGTTTTGCTCACAGCAACTTCTGGGGTCAGCCGAGTTCACAATTTCTAAGATAGTCTTATGCATTCAACAAAACATAATGTTTTTGTATATCCGGTCATTTGTGCTTATTTATTGCAAGGTTAGTACAAACCTTATAGATTTGAGCAGAATCCAAAATGTTTATTTTCACTCGCATATGCGCATACAGTCCAATCGGACCAAAACATTTCCTGTTGTTTGTGGTGCAGTGAGATCTGCGCATTTATTGACAGATCAAGTTGAAGTCAAAAGCCAGCAAGAGAAAAAGAATGCACATACAATTGGGACATACAAAATCTTTATTTAATCAACAGGATACATGCCACAGCCCATCAATCAATGTTCATAAGGCGATGCTAAACAATTGTATATCCTTCCATATATTGTTTTCCGACATCCAATGTCAAGAGGGCCTCGGGTGAGATGGAGCTCAAAAAAGAAAGTTCAACAAGTCCATTGAAGCCTTTGCAACACTCCCATGTTCGTTGGAAAGTCCCACTGTCCTCTCCTTTTTTTTTTTTATGGCCTTGCTTTCCTCACAGCGGCTTTCTGGGCTTCAGTCCACATCACGATAACACCCAAAGGCCTTGCTTTCAAAGAAAATCGTACTTGCTTTGCTTTAGTTTCAGCGAATGAACCTCTGCATCGATATAATCAATATCGTGTGACGTCGTGCATGCTGTGATCATGACGTTTTTGAACCACTGTTCAGAGGAGACTGACTCTCTCCTTTGTCATCTATAGCCGCTTCTAACAACAAGGCACACGAGGGAATAGTTGTTATGATTGCATTGTTGTCGGTTAACATGTTACAGCTGCAGCTTTTGTGGAAGCGCGAAATAAATGAAGATGCATTGTTGTTTTATTGTCTCCAAGAAGGCAATAATCTCTCTCTCTCTTTTATACATGCACGTACACACCAACACTTATTTATAGCTACATATTTGTATTGTGTCACTTATGGTGTCGTGGTACACTGGCCCGACATATGCGGACAGCGTGGGATCGGTTCCCACTCAGTGACGGTGGAGATGTGAATGTTTATTTGTCTCTTTATGTGCCCTGCGACTGATTGGTGACGAGGTTTTTATTTGTCTCTTTATGTGCCCTGCGACTGATTGGTGACGAGGTTCAGGATGTAGTCCGCCTTCCGGCCAAAACTCAGCTGGAATAGACTCCAGCATGTCCTGTGACCCTGCTCAGGATAAGAGGTGTTGAAAATGGATGGATGCATATCTCTCTCTCTCTCTCTCTCTCTCTCTCTCTTTGTATACAGTGGTACCTCTACTTATGAACGTCTCTTTATACAAAATTTTCAAGTTACGAAACGCCTCAGTAGGAAAATATCGCCTCTTGTTACGAAAGAAATGTCAAGATACGAAAGGTAAAAATACAGTATGGGCTGCTCCTCGCAGCTCCGAGTTTCCTGAACGAAACACCTTCCTGGCATCCCATTGGCTAAGAGGGACCTACGGTCGTAGGTAGGTACGTGTCTGATAGATAAATAGATAGAAATGTGTCTATGCAGCGTCCTCGTCATTCGCCCCTCGGGCCATGAGGCGTTCCGATAGCTTGACGGAAATGTGAATCACCCAGAAAAAATGTTCACCAGTCGGTCGATTGCTCACTATGTTAATGTTTGCCTTGGACATTATCGAAGGATTGTTAAAAGCCGGCAAAAGCAAACGCCCTCGGATCAAACGCCAGGCAAAAACCACTTCTGAGAGAGAACATGAACTAAAAAGAGGGCAAAAATACGATGAGGACGCAGTTAAAAGTTAAATGACCATCATTTTTATACTTTACTCTTTTATTTGTTTTTTACATTCTGGATAACTCTCATTTATTGTGCAATAATCTAATTGTAACTTTTTTTTTAACATATTTTGATGCATTTTTATGCTTTAGAAAACATTTATGTCTGAATTTTGGGGTGGGGCTTGGAACAGATTAGGGCCTTTACATGGAAAACGCGTCTCAATTTAGAACATTTTCTAATTAAGAAATTTCTTCCAGAACCAATTAATTTAGTAAGTAGAGGTCCCACAGTTTATAAATGTGTGTGTGTGTGTGTGTGTGTGTGTGTGTGTGTGTGTGTGTGTGTGTGTGTGTGTGTTTGTTTGTGTGTGCGTGCGTGTACATGTATGTACGACAAACAAATGTGACATATAAACAAACATTTTATTGCTTTCACAATATCACATCAGGAAAAAAAACAAACATTTTAATACAATTCTGTCGATATTTTTTTCACCATAATTCTATGATTGAAATGCTTTCATCGACTCTAAATCATCAGTATTGTAGTAATCGAAGGTATAAAAAGTCAGGCTAGTATTGGACGTCATTCGTCCACATGTGAGTCACAGTTGGATGACCATTTTGTAACGTGTATGTGAAACACATGTTCGAGAGAAAGAAAAGCAGTGAAGTCGCCGCCACAGTTTCAAGGGAATCCTCCAGGGCCCATCGGGCCCGGAGCTGGGTTGAATGCAGGTGAACCTACAAAATGATAAGATAAGTCTTCTAAATGGATGAGGAGCACATTTCAATTCCTGTTTCAAACTCATGATTTCTTTGCACAGCTGGATGTCGTCCATCCTACAAGAAAAGGAGACATTAACTGCTTTCATCACACTTAAGAGTAAATATGGACAGTTGAGTGTCCGGAAACCTGCCCTATAAATGTGATTTATTATTAGTAGTATGATTTTGTGATAAATGCCCCCCAAATTGAATATCTTTCATTTGGGTTTTACATTTCTTTTCAATTGTTTTGTTTTGTATTGTTTTTTTTTTTTTTTTTTTCCAGTGAGGAGAAACCGGATCTTTTATGTTTCCATTGCAATAGACTTATTGTCATTGTACGGTATGGAGAACACCATACTATAATATGATGAAATATTTGACTCTATATCTTTCTAGCGATGGCAATTTATTAGTGGAATAGCCACGATATAACAGATAGAGATACCTTTCTTGTATTGTGTTTCCTACATATAATGTAGGGTTATATTCTTAATGAGGAGGATCAAAATGTGCCCACTAGAAACAGCTCTTACTGTGATTTATAGCGGTTCTACACTACTGTTTGTTTGTTTGTTTGTTTGTTTGTTTATTGAACATATATAAAACATACAATAACATGACAAAATGCAAACAAAAATTATGAAAGGAAAATAAAAGTAAAAGTAAGTAATACAAACATCATCACAGTTATATGTTCAAAGGAGTAGGAAGAAGTATACAACTTATCTAGTCCTACCCCTTGTTGTGCAATAATGTATATTGATCATTTCCAATACCAAAGAAAAGGAAGAAATCTAAATTTCATCAAATACTTTTACCCTTTTGTGTACTATACTTATCTATTGATACACCTTTCGGTTTGTATATATGTATAATTGTTCTTTCTACTTTTTATATCAAATGACTCATATTCATTATATATATACTGCATTTCTTGAATACATTCAATAAGTTGTTCAAAAGTAAACAACCCTCCTGAAATTTGTGCTGTCGTTTGTCAGTTAATGTGTTTTCAGTGGTCAAAACGAGCCATCGCGGCCACTTCCTTCCTCTTAAAAATGCTCTGGTTCAAAAGCATTTGTTGCCAATAAATGGGCAGAATTTTTGTCCAACACAATACCATTGAACTGAGCACCATGCTGTCCTAATATGACGTCACCCGGAAAAAACAAACAAACTACATTGAGTACATTTCCATACCATCACAAATGCTAGCTTCTCAACTTTGCCTTCAGAGCAGTCTGAATGTTTTGGGGGGTTTTTTTTGGAGGGGGGGGGTGGAGAACACTCCGTCTATAACCCCTCCACCCCAGAGAACACTACATCCATAATTTCCCAAAACAATTTTAAATGTGGACTCGTCAGACCACAAAAACACATAAACGTGTGTGTCTGTGTGTGTGTGTGTGTGTGTGTGTGTGTGTGTGTGTGTGTGTGCGTGTGTGCGTGTGTGTGTGTGTGTGTGTGTGTATGTAGGACAAGGACAGTGTTGGATCCAGAATGTCACGTACTTCTTATCTTATCCCTTTGTTTTTTTGACCCTATTCCTGCTTTCACACAAGAGTCATAAAGCCGAATCGAAGTGAAATTTTAAACCATCAAGTTAAGAAAGGTCAGGGAGGAAATTTTGAAAGTCCACAAAATTCTCCTTTATTTGATTTATATATGCCTTTAGAAATAACAAACTCACGCTATTGCTGTAATCTAGCGGAGCGCCTGGCTGACATAAACAATGGATCTTTCCATTTTTTTGCTTTTTAAGCCTGATAAAACAAATGGTGATTGTTACCCTGCTCGTCATTGGCACTTATTTCAAAACACCTCTTTGAGTCTTGATAAATGTACCCAAAGTGACTCCGCAAAAATCTCAGTGTTGTTTTAAACTCAACTCTCATTTTTCAAAAGACACAATATGTTTTGTTTCGTTTTGGATTCGAAAGGGTGTGCCTACTATTATGTTGTGCAGCACAGGGTAACGCTCCCCCCCCCCCAAAATGACAGCAAAAAGCTGATTGGTCAGAGACAAAGAAGAGTTATCATTGGTTGGAAAAGACTGTCAATCAAAGTTAGGTTTCGTTTCTTGTGAAACGAAACCTTTTCCAAGTACCGGTAGCTGGAAGGGAGGGGGGTGGTGGGAGGAGGAGAGGGAGAATGGGCCGAAGAAATAAAGCTCTGAATTAAGCTCCCTTGACAAGTGAGGTATGCTAGACTGCAAGGATTTATTTTCTGTGAAATTTAAACTGTTCCAAGAAATGGAAAGTGGAGGCTCTGGTTTTAAATCGAACTTTACTTTGAAAAGAAAGAAAGAAAAAAACAAAACAAAAGAAAACATAACAATCAACCATAGATGATAAAATATGTGAATTTAGCTCCTCCACCTATTCAGTTTCCATGACAGATAGTACTGCGACTACAATACAAACCTAATTCCAAATTTAATTTGGGTCATTGAGTTAAACAGAAATAAAAACAGAATACAATGACAATAAGGACGAACATGATTTGCAAATCATTATACTGTTTTTATTTGTTGAGCACAATGTCCCAATTTCATTGATATTGGGTCTGTACACGGTGTCAAACTCGAGGCCTTGGGGCCAGATCTGGTCCACCGTATTATCTCATGTAGTAGCTGGGTACACCCCAAACTGGTTGCCGGTCAATCGCAGGGCACACGTAGACATACAACCATTCACGTTAACAATAACACCTAGGGACAATTTCGAGTGTTCCATTAACCTGCCGTGCACGTTTTTGGAATGTGGCACAGGCAGAACATGCAAAGTCCACACGGGAAGGCCTGAGCCTGCTGACTGTTTTTTTATGTATTAAAAATTGTGACTGTTTGGGGGGCTAGAACGGCCTATGTGTTGTGAGCCAATCTATGACTTGAGAGAGACCTTCAGAAACACTGCCACTCGAGCGAAGAGAATTGGTTTGCAGTAGCTGCAGTTCAGAGCCTGTGTGCCGTGAGCAAAAATGTTGTCTGTCAAGGCTACATGCACACAAATGCAGTTTCTCAGCTCCATTTCAAAACATCAGATGTGTTAATGTTCTCAGAGCCTTGTGTCAGTGTACTGCAACCTACCCAAAACAAAGTCCTGCTCACAAAGTAGGGGAGCCATTTATTGACCAAAATTGAAATACAAGAAAAACAATATGCGACATTTCCTTGACATTAACATAAATCCATCATACATTTCAGTGTGCACGCCCCGCTACATATGGCACAGAATTTGTCACAAATCCTTTAAAGCGGTGGCCCAGTTTTAGGTTTTGAGGACTCAGAGGATAACAGTGATCAAGCCAGCGACAGGTGCAGCAGCAATGGTTGCACCAGCTGAACCTGAAACAAGAGGTCACACTTTAGAATTTAGAGCGAGTCAAACACAATGCTATCACAGCCATGAATTTGATTTTAGCCTTCTGCTAAATCGATATTGAATCTTGATTTATAAACTGCATCCAGTTTCTATAACACGTGACTGGAATTTATGTCACATAGCTTTGACAGGAGAGGTGCACGCAGAGCTGGTGACGAAGCCGATCACATGGCAGAAAGACAAAAAAAACCCATTCATGCTCATTTGGGCTGCAGCTGTGAACATTTTCAAATTTTGAAATCTTATTGAAAATTATCACAAATAATCAATTATTCAAGATTTTTTTTTGCATCGGTTTAAGAACATTATGTATACACAGAGAAAATAACGCATTTCACGTCATGAATAACCCATGTGACGGCAGAACCACAGTAGCGATATTGCCAGCTAAAACGGCACAGTTGAGTAAGCCTGGTTTGTTAAAAAAAATGATCATTAGGATTTAATGGCGCTCAGATCAATTGGCCACATATGGTGAAAACGATTTCCGTGAAAATGTATGTGATCAGCATCGATCCATCAATGCCTTTGATTGCCGATCACAAAGGCTTTGTTGAGACTGCTAGCTAAAATCCGATTTTTAACCCATCCAGATTGAAACTGGATGGCTCTTTTGTAGTCTGAACAGTCACAAAGCACATGAACTCAATTTATTTTATTTATTTTTTTTTAATGAAGGCAGTTCATTCGAACTTCAATTCATAAGCACATGAACTCAATTTATTTTATTTATTTTTTTAATGAAGGCAGTTCATTCAAACTTCAATAACCTGATCAATAGTAGCAAAGGTGATTGGTTTGGCCGCATAAGCTGCAAGACATTGGCACATCGAGTAGTAACTCAACATGTATGTATGCATGTATACCTGCTGCTGCTGCAGTGCCTGTTGCGACTCCAGTGTTGACTAAAGCTGTGAGCCCCACCGCAGCTGGGTAGCCAATGGTGGCAATCGCAATTGGCGCAAAAAGCAAAATTCCTCCTGGACAAAAGCAAGAGAACACCAAGAATGACAGTCAAACACGTATAAACACTAACACTGTGTTTGTTGAATGTACTTTCATCTAAATCTTTTTTTTTTTTAGTTTGTATAAAGAATTCAGGCTGCAAGATAATGATGGTTATGTAAGAAAAGCTGCTTGCTGGTGCAATTTACAATTGATTAGTCAAGTAATCGCAACTGCTATTGTTGACGAGACTAGCAAAATAATCATCTGTGGCAGTCCTTGTTGAGAATTGTTATTACATAGTCTGTACAGACTGGGTTAGTGCTCTTATTCATGTGACATGGATAAGACTTGCCGGGAATGCAGAAAACCAAATTAGAAGTGTGTGTTTGTGTCTGTGTGTGTGTGTATAAGGAATTCATAAGCTCTGTCCTCCCAACTGAACCACCTGCCACCCAATCACTACCCAAAGTAAAACTGTCTCGAAGCGCCCCTGATTCACAGCTTAATTCTACCTTCCGAATGAAACAACATTTAACACTTGTGCTTGTTATTATGCTTACCTGCTGCGCCCGCTGCGCCCGCAGCAACAGCCAGTGCTGAAACTGAAACACAAAAGAGGGCAAATTTCATTTGAAAAGAAAATGCACTTTGAGACAAATATTCATTTGACCTGTCTGCCGATTTGAATTGGTTATAATTAATGCGCACATCGAATTCGGTGCAGTGAATTTATAGGGACAAAATGAAAACAAGAAACGAGGGTGGGGGGCGTTTCGGAAATAGGCTAGGAGCGCCCACTGGTTCACTCCACCCGTTCGGATATTCCGTGCGAAACTCAAATTGGCCGTTCGGAAATTCAGATTGAAACCAAAACAGAGTGCCAGTGGAAGCACTAGGCGTCAAGTAGCACAGATGGAACCATTTCAACAACGACCTGCTGATTGGTTAAGAACATAACATTTCTGTAATCACACAACAATTATTTAATGTTAAATTACCGTTTCGTGACTGTGAGAGTGGAAAAAAATACAACGGTAAGAAACAAGCAACGGTGGACAAACATGGCGCAGTTTAAATTAAACTATACCACTAAGTGGTTTTGTTTTCAACGTCAATAAAACCCGTTTTTCGCCACTGTTTAATATTTAATACCGAGGACATGATGTGTAGTAACTTTAGCGTCATGAAATGTTTTACTTTTTTAGTATCTACGACTAAAAATCACATTTGGCCGCTGACCAGTGAGTCTCACTGCGGTATAACGTATACGTTTACAAGACGACGCGGATTAATCCTTAACATCGACTAAAGAGTCACTATTACTTACGAAGTCCCATTTCGTCCGTGTCGTTTCACACAGTTAACGGCTCGGTGACTTGTCCTCAGATAGCGGACAGCGTCGTAATGATGAGGGAGGGGTGTGAGGACAGATATGACATCGAAAAGGATCACCGGAGAAGTGGTCTGATTGGTCTGAAACACCGGATGCATGTTATTGGCTTGGAGTACTGTCAATCACTTGTTACTTTTTTATTTTTTTTTTGCAACACAGAAAGTGAAAGTGTGGGTCGTCACCCTTTAACTTCCTTTCGATTGCATGCATTAATTCAACAGTTGAGTTAAATGTGACTTTCAAATCCCGTGCTGCGGATGGCATTTGAACCAGGAGTGGTTTACTTTAAGGTTGATCGCTGTTACAGTTGACCACTGTTGTCTTTAACAGGACCTTGTAGTCACGTGTCAATTGTGCGCATGCGTGCCATCGAAGGCTCGCACGGCGTCCACTTTCGCTCGCCCCAATTTAACGCTGAATGAGATAAACGGTCATATTTAATCGGCAAACTCGCTCCCTCGATTGATTTGTCTCGAACAAATTGTTTGTGGACCGACGCAGGAAGCTCGATGTCGGTGGCAAACGCGAAGCTTAGTGTCCTGAAACCGGTGAGAGGCGTATTGCCATCGCTATTACAATATTACGTCCCGGTGGCGACAATCAGATATTAAGTGGTCAATCTCTGCTTAAACATTCGCGGTACTAGAATTTGTCGCTAATAACTCAATGTGAATCTCGTTATTTCCCCAATATTGTGTTAAGTGGTCTAACCTCTCCACCTCAGGTGATCCCATACACAGGATCAATACCTGGAGGCCTGCACCCCGGAGAGATCATCATCATCCAGGGCACTGTCCCTTCAAATGCTGACAGGTGAGCTGTGACTAACACAGTTGCAGCATTTAAATGCACATGCACTAACTGTCATTCCCGATTCCCCAACCGTTAACTCGCCAAGACACAAGGCAAGTGAATTATGTATCGTGTGCCCTCTAGTGGGCGAGCATCAAAATGTTCAGCCTGTCACTATTTGTTGCTGGCACAAAAAGAGCAACAAAGCCACACTACTGTATTTGTAGTCCATTAATTTCTGACCAACGATGAAGATAAACTGTGAGAGTGTTCCGATGTCTGGTATCATGGTTGTAGTTTCAAGTTTTCGCTGCATGGAAGGCTCAAACAATTAAACAGCTGCCAATATGACCTGTCTCTAAACCACAACTCCCGTTCTTAAACAAAATAAAATAACAAATAATTGGTGGGTATAATGGATGAATGGATAGTAAAAAATTACAATTAGATTTGCAATTAGACAATCCTTTTACCTCAATTCAGAACTAACAAAATGAGATGCAATTTAATGTTCAATGGGATTCAAGCATACAACT